ATTCACTTGCAAAAATACTTGAGACTAAGGGGTGTACGGTGAACTTCTTTTTGTTGGTTTGTAAGATGGTACGGTGTAATGCACATAAGTACAAATATATGTATGTATGTATATATACTAATGCTATAACATTCACATCTAAATATTGCACTGCATTCTACTCAGAATTCTTTGTGACATTTTCTCATCAATTCAAAAGCGATAATTGATGATTTATGCTTTAGTGTCTACGCGCCTACATACATACATTCAATTCAAGAGCAATTACATCAATTTAAAGCGATTCCAATGCGTGAAGGAATGAATGCTTCCGTAGTTCACAGTCTCTTGTGTAATAAATAACTCCAAATTAGTTGCGGTGGCGTTTGCATTGTGTGACAGTTAATTGAATTAATTTTTCGTTGCATGTGAAAACGCGTGAAAACAAAAAGCACAAAATAGAAAAAGAAAATTACAGCGGCAATGGTAAATGCTGCGTGGATGTCTGTATTATGCCATCGTTGTCGTCATTTCATTTGACTTTAGTCTGAAAGTTGCCTTGACGTGGAAGCTGCAAGCACATTAGTACACACTAACTTATGGATTTACAGTCCCCACCCGTTCGCTATGCCCTGCAAGAAATCGTACCAGCTCATGACTGGCCAGCTGGATGACTGGTGATGGAGGATACTCCCTCTTTCAGACAAACAATAAATAACCTTGGATTATTTCGGACCCAGCAGCGAATATAATAGCTTCAGTTTGAAGACTCTTCCTTTGCATTACCGTAGACCAGTCCGCTGTTGTTTCGAACGAATTGATACGTTTGAAAGACATCCGAGCTATTTACTTTAAGCAAATTTAATATTTGGAAGCTATTATTTCTTGCAGGGTAATTTCAGTTAAGTGCATTTACGTATTTATATATATTAGGGTGGTCCAAAGTAAGTAAAGCCGGATTTTAATGCTCCCACCACCTAGGATTGTTGTATATCGAAAAAAGTAAACACCTTCTTTTTTATTTTGAAATCAAAAAATGCATTTACATAAATATATGGGAAAAAGCAATTTTTCGTAGAAATAGTATAGAATTCTCAAAAATCAATATTTTTTGATCGGAAAACTCTGGTTCTCTTCGGAAGACTTCCGATAATAATACCCAATTGTTTATTTAACCATTTTTTAATATTAAAGATCTTTTATTTATCCTTCCATTGTATTTTGTAGCATTTTCTGGGGGTTTTGGCGAACCTATAAAATATAGTTACTATGAAAAAATGCTTAACACGTTGGCTGCCAAAGCCTTTTTAGAATTTTGATCGTTTAGTAGCAATGTCATTTTACAATTTTGGTCACCTGAGGCCAACAACTTATTTTTGTTCTTTTTTGTTTCTTAGTGCCTAAAAATAAGTTTTGACTACTCGCGACTTTATTTTGGTCCCTAATTTTGCAGTTATGACGGTTTTTTGTGTCGCACATTTACCATTAAAATACTATTAAAAATATACAGCGGCCATGGGAAATACACCAAAATGTTCACCACAGGCCAGAGAATCCAAATTCCATGTAAAATTCCATATTAAAATGTACGAAAATGTGCGACGTGGCCTCGGGGTAAAATTTAGGTGTCGCACGAAAATGTGCTACGTGGCCTCAGGGTAACATCTGGGTGTCGCATGAAAACGTGCGACGTAGCAGCCAACGTGTTAAATAAATAATTGGGGTTTATTACTGAAAATCTTCTAAAGTGGGACAGACTTTACCCCTCGAAAGATATTGATTCTCAACAATTTTACACCATTCCTAGGATAAGTAGTTTTTTCACATATAGCATATGTACATGGAAAACTTTGAGCGCTTTGAGGGACCTCTAAATATTTTTTGGTTTCAAAATAATAAATAGGGGTATATTTTTTCAATATAGAACAATCCTATTGGTGAGAGCATAATAATTCCTACTTTACTTTTCACATGCATTTTGGACCACCCTAATGTATATACATATATGTACTTCAAGCACTTTATGTATATGTACACTATTCTTGCGCCTGCATTTGATGTTTCAAAGTTATAGAGAAATCAGGAAGTAATAAAAACTTGTATGAATGAGGCCTTTGAGATTACTCTATTTGCCGTCTCCAAGTGCACTTAGTTTTTTTTTATCAAAAAATAAAGTACTAACTGAATGACTCACTCTCCTATGCTGGAAAATCGAGCTGTTCATATGCTGATTGCATAAAAATAACAAGTGTTACATTCAACTGAGAGAAAGATCATGTAAATGTTTTCTTTTTTTAACAAAAACCACCGTCTATTAAATATTTCCTTCCTTTGTCGTCTCTGACAAAAAGAGCGTTCCACTCTTGTGATTTTCGTTGATATACAACGGCTGGTATTTGGAGATAAGTGATGTTTCAGTAGACTTTATTCCCGTTTTGGACTTTTCGCAGTTAACAATCTATAGGATATGCGCCAACTATGAACCGATTTCGGAAGAACTTGCCGAAAATTTCCCTTTTAATAGTTCTGATTGAGCTGAGAGATGCCACCCTCGATTGAAGCCAATGTGAAATCCTCCTCGGCTAATGCATCGGAAGTTCAGGAAATATTGCGCCGGTGAGGATGCCAAGCTAGAATACCTCTGCTCGGAAAACTCTCAACAAGGCAGCTTCCTACTCGCAGGGTTTCTCAAAAAAATACTTCTCGAACTCAGCGTTAAGTTTCGAATACATCTGTATTCAGATTATGTATTCTGGCAGAGGTTTCTAATTCCCCGTCCAAGTCGTCTCTGACGTGGTGCACAATATGTGAAGGTCTATAAGAAATATGTTTTAAATGACAATAAAAGAATCCGTAGTTCATATTGAACCTGGGAACCTATTCCATAAAGTGACATTGTCACCATCGCTTCAATTCCATGAGGAATTCCATTGAAAAATTGACAAATTGTCATTGACAAAATTGTCCCCAGTCATATGAAATTAATATGTAATTCATAAATATGTAATAATTGCATTCGCATTATTTTAGTTTAAGAAATATTCAAATTATTTAAAAGTAATGAAAGATTACCCAGATTCATGATGTTAGCTCAGCACAAATGGAAATAATCAAAGCGTTGCATGCAAAGAAAAAAGGAAGTCAGAAAAAAGTCATGGGGTGCGAAATCAGAACATGTGGTTATTTTAGCCGACGCGAAATAGCTCGCGTTGTAATTGAATATTGTCACTCGCTGAATGCACGATCGTTGGGCTCTAATTCCATACTCCAAGAACCAAAAAAGCGACAGAAGAAGATAGAAGATGGACAGTGGTGGTTGGCCACGATTAACATTAAGATCAACATTATCACTAAGACTAAGCATTAAGATTCAGACTGAGGCTGATGCTAGGATTGAGATTTAGATTTAGATTAGATCAAGATACAATTAAGAATAAGATTAAAAACTAGATTTAGATTAGGACATGGAATTAAGATTAACACTAAGACTAAGATTAGAGACTAAGATAAGAATTAAAATTATGATTAAGATTAACATTAAGATTAATAACAAGATTAGGATTAAAATCAATTATTATTATTAAGGTTTAGATTAGGTTAGGTTAGGTTGATGTGGCAGTCGTTTCCAATTGCCAACTCACTAAGATCTTGCAAGTCCATTGTGATACCACTGTGAAACACGGGAACCTCAGGACTATTCTGCATAGAACGATTTTGAAGCTCCTATGAAGCTCATATTGGTTTTATTCCTACCCTAATGGTTCCGTGACAGAGCTGAAGAAGTGTCTACCCTGAAAACCCACTCTGTTCTTAACTAAAGCAGGGCAGTTACAGAAGAAGTGCTCAACTGTCTTTCTCCTTCCTCAGATCTGCAACTCCTTGCAATATTTACGGGAGAATATTCATAATTTACACAAGCCATGACGCCCATAATGTCCTCTCTTAAGAGCTGAGCAGTTCTTCGGTTTATTTCCTAGCAATTTGCGGCAATAGTCCAATAGGCCCTCGTCTTACCATGACCTATTGGCCTCTTGAATAATGTTATTTCGAATCCTTAATTTGCAAGTTTCCATGGTATTACATTGGTACCTTTCCTGGCTAGCTCATCGGCTCTACAATTTACTTCAATATTTCTATGTCCCGGGACCCATATGAGACTGACCTTGAAGACGGTGCTAATATCATTTCGGGCTGCCAGATATTCTTATGCAATCTTTGATCTTAGCATTACCACGTTCATTGGTTTGATAGGCCGCCTGGCTATCCGAGAAGATATTAATCGTTTTCAAGATTAAAATTAGGACTAACTTTAAGATTAAGATTGTGGTTCAGATTAAGACTAAGATTATGATTAAGATTAGGATTAAGACTTTAATTATGATTGGTATTAAAATTAAATTTATTATTAATATTAATATTGTTTATATAATATTGTTGCTTATTCTAATTTTTTCAAACAGCGGTCGCCCTCGACAGGCAATATCAAACCTTCGAGGGTATTTTGGATTTGAAAAGGCTTCTCATAAAATCCCTCCGTTTGCGTAACAACGCCACAAATTGGAGGAGAATGTGTTTCACTTCAGTCGCGCGTGAGATCCACATCCAACTTTTTTTTCCGGATCCCACTAAAGATTTCTGGAAAACAAGTGGTTGTGTACCATTCAGAATAGACTGTTCGTCTTTTTTCTAATGGAACACAGATGACGTTAATTAAAGAGAAGACACTTTTTCGAGCCAACTGACTGGCAATTGCCGACACGTTCACGTCTGTCACGATTCAACCGCACTTTACTATCGGTTTAGGGAAAAATATTTATCTACGAGCATAGTGCAAATAATTTTATCCCAAGATTTATTGAATTCTCAAGGCGTTTACATAAATATGTAAATAGTGACCACTGAGCTGAAAAATTTTCAAAATCGGACGAAAAGTGTAAAAAGGCGATGGTTAAGATGGAATAATTGAAGATTGATTGGTTTAAACCAGATTACCTGCTATCGACTGAAATGTGCATACATACCATCATTTGCTGCTTGCTCAGCGTGATTGGCATCAGAGACTGCAGTTTTACGATTGGCCCAAGCTCCAGCATCCTCGCGATTATTTATGAGTGGTGGTACAACACCAGGCGACATTTGTGGCATCGATTGCTGCTGTTTTTGTTGTATCTGGTCTACTTGAGGCACAGATTGCAATTGTGGCTGCACAATAGGCAGTTGATATTGGGTCTTTAAAGCGATCTGTAGATGTTCAACTCGGTTATACCTACTCTACTTAGAACAGCAAGCAGTATTGAAAAAAGTGTAAACGTACCTTTGGTTCCATGGCATTTGCAGAACCAACATCGGCATTCGATTTTGCTGTCGAAGTGGCAGCGGAGCACTAAACGAAAAAATCAAACAATTTTTTTACGCTTTAATGCAAATTTCTTTTAATCAATATCGAGCACTCACTTCCGGTCCCTCGTCGCTGCCATCTTCGCACTGCGGTATGCCATCACAGGCATTATAGACAGCAATGCATTCGCCCGAATGACAGGTGAACTGAAAGCGGCCACAATGTGTTGGATAAACTAAAAGAATATAAACAAAGAATGCGACATAAAACTCCGAAACATTCCCTTAAATATCCGTTGTACACACCTTTTTGTGGAAAAGCTACACTCAATGGCGGTATTTGCTCCACGCCCACCATCGGCACTGGGCCCGCAGTTGCTGCCGCATTGGTGCTTCCTCCGGCAGCATTGCCTACAGCTGACACACCGGACACCGCACCCCCTACTCCACCCATTCCTGTTGCGACTGCTGTTTTATCGCGCGTTTCTGGTTTCACTTTTAAGCTTGTCAATTCCCACTCTTGCTGTGAAATGTTGTTGGTCGAGCCAATGTGTGCCACACTTGGTTTCATCGTCGTCACTTCGGTCACATGCCGCGCGACTGTCAACACTGCGCTGGTGTAATTGGCATGTCGTGTGAACTTGCAGTGGAAATTCTCGGGTGGGCCGCACTCGAAAAGATAACAATAGCCGTCGCTTTTGTCTTCGAAGACGTAAACGTCACAGGAATCCGTTTCGCAGCAGAGGCGCTGACATTCCTCGGCGGTGTCGAGCTCAAGACCTTGCAAGTACTTGCCGCCAAGTGTTTGTGATTCGCCCGTGCGAATTATGGTGTTTTTGTGGATTTCGAATTTGCCTAAAAGAAAAGAAAAATAATTATAGAAATAGTTATTGACTATCTTAAAACGTAGGCTTAGGCTCGAAAAGCTCTACAGATTGCATATGATGTCGAAAAAGAAAATATTTGAAGAGTTCTTCGAAGGAAAAAAATTCATTTTGTGTTTTTTCGTATCGCCGTGCTAGAAACTAAAAAGAAAATATATGCAAGTTTCGTTTTTGTACGGCTGCTTGTCCATTATATGAAATCGCATTGAGTGCTACTCTTTCTTGCGAGAATCTGAAATGGGCTAGTCTTCGACACGAATAGTGAAACGCGCTACTTTTCGTAGTGACCGACGATGAAATCTGATTGGGGCCATAAAAAATTTGTTGTCATGTCACAAATAACGTAGACATGGGTGTAAAATACGACTTTACCCAGAGCGAGAAGTTGAGCATATTAAAAAAAATTTCAATGGTCAACCATAAAACGCTTTGAAATGCTTAACGTTTATAAGGCAAAAATAACTTTAAACAAGTAAAAAAGTCTAAGTTCGGGCGGAGCCGAACATTAAATACCCGGCGCAAGTATAAAATATATGTTTTTCACCTTTCCGAAAGCTACCGCTACATGGTAAGCCGGGGTGTATCAATTTTGAGTAAATTAGCGTGCTTAAATTTCGAAATATTGAGTCCGATTTCAATAATTTTCAACGTTTTGCTTTTATGTGGCAAGCACAATAAAAATACCGNGCATCAATTTTGAATAAATTAGCTTCAATATTTACTGATTTATCGAAGATTTTGTATTTCTCTAAATTACCGTTATATGGGATGTGGGCGTGGTTATTGTCCGATTTTAAAAAGTTTCAGCGATTTTTTATGCTGTATCAAGGCCAACAACTGTGACACGTTTGGAAGAAATTGGTGCAGCGGTTACCAAGATATACAGATGTACCCATAAGTAGGCGTGGCTACGCCCATTTTCCAAAAATGTATAATGTTTTTATTTTTCGTCTAAAATGTATTGTAAATATCAATTTTGAGTGAATAATCTTCAGTAGTTACTAAAATATCGCAGTTTTCGTATTTCTTAAAATTACCGTTATATAGGAAGTGGGCGTATTTACAGTCCGATTTCGCCCATTTTTAATACCAACCTACATTGGATAAATGGAAACCTACATACCAAATTTCGTTGAGATATCTAAATTTTTGCTAGAGTTATCGGGTACACGGACAGACGGACAGACGGACAGACGGACGGACAGACAGACATGGCTTAATCGATTTCTTTTTTCATCCTGATCATTTATGTATACATTTGTCTATATCTATCTCGATTCGTTTTGGCTGTTACAAACAACCATTTTGTTAACAAAGTTAAAATACCCTTGTGCACAAGTGCGCTCCGGTATAAAAATCAAAGTGGATGATGCAAATGATCACTAAACGGTATACATATACCGTCGCCACGAATAATGAAAAGTGTTAGGGTATGTTCACACAGAAAGCGGAGCCGAGCCGAGCGAAGCCATTCCGAGCTGAGTGAAGCTTTCAAACTGCTGTAGCTGTATGAGAGTGTTCATACAGCAAGCTTTTCCATAAGCGTTTTGGAGCTGAAAGCAAAGGAATTTAATTTTCCAGCTTCATTATGCTGTTGCCAACAAAATAGCAAAATATTCAAATAAAAACGAATTTACAACTAATCTTTTGAATAAAATTGAGCAACTAGTTTTGCCGCTTTTCATTGACGGTAAGTTTTTTGGTACCTTTGCAGCCGAGTCCGTGAGAAAAGCACCGATTCGCTTCGTTCAGTGTGAACACCAGTAGCTTCGCTTTGTTCTGCCTTGCTTCGCTCGGTGCCGCTCGTGAACCTTCTGTGTGAACCCGCCCTTAGCCTTCGGCGCGAATAATGAAACGTACTAGTCTTGTACGTAATTCGTAGGGAGTGACGACATGGACTTCGATATGTAGTTTCACCAGGACGGTTTCCTTGCCATACATCCAGGAAGCATGAAACAACGAGGCAAATGGCCGCCGGGAAATTGCGATTTTAGTAAAAATCATTTTACACCATGGCTTTTTTCTCTGAGGCTACATGAAAAGTATGGTCTATGCCATTATGCCAATTAGGAAATAAAAAAATCATTTCGACAAATTTCTTATGTAGTTTAATAAATAAACAATAAAAGAAAATCGGTGGTCTTATTGAATCATCCTATATTTATATATTTAATTGGAAACAGTTCAAGCAAAAAGTCTAAACATTTCTATTTCACACTCGTACAATCTTTAGTCATGGACAATAAAAAAATAATCCAACGTAAATCTACGTTTAACATCACTAATTGTCACTAGTTTGATTATCACCTTGTAAAATGGTATCTAATAACCAAAGCGCCCATTTCACCTCCACTCTATGTTGGCGTTCAAATCACAGTACTCCCACCTGCTGAGAAACAAGCAGCTAATTAGTGAAGCCTCGTTTACGACACTCGTTTAAGATATCAAACTTTCCCTCGAACAACCAGAGAAAGCAGACCCAACGAAGAATACAATAAAACTGAAAAAGTTATCAATGAAACTCATCTGCATATCTATCTGTTGGCTCATGCCATTTCCACATCGGTCAATGCTGGTTAACTGCTGCATCACCTGCTGCTGCTGCTGCTGCTGCTGTTCAAGAGCCACAACAAATTGGCATTATTTACAGTTACGAAGTGATGGCGCAAATGCAACTCAACTCAGCACAGCAGCAACTCGCAGGCAATCACAACAAAAAAAAAAGCCCTGCAGAACAAGCTGACTCACCACAATCCAAACGAACAACCCACCGATTAACTCAGAAATATATACTTCTTTACCCGCCCGTACGTGTGTGGAAATGCATATAGAATTTGTTAAAAAAAAAAAATCAAAATAAAAAACAATAATAAACCGCAATTGTTAATTACAATATAAGCAGCCGCATCAAGCCAATAAAAGCCAAGGCGGAATTAAAGAAGACAAAGGAGAAGAAGCACCGCGTCCGCATGCGCACGAAGGCAGGCGCACTCAGCCGTACGATTTCAATTTGCAGTCAAACAATATATGTATTTGGTTTTCCCTACCTCGAAGACTTTGCAGCGTACACATTCACGCCAGTTTACTTACCCAAACACAGCTCCAAATCCATTCGTTTTGCCAAGCGATGCGTATCGACGACACCGACGGCCACTGGAGCGACTGGCGGCGCAGCGAGGGGGCCGCCAACTACGCTTGCGCGCGTGGCTGCCCAGCTCGCATAGCCGTCGCTGGCGGTGTTAATAGCATTTGGGCCGCAGCTGATGCGCGCGATATTCTCTGTCAAAATTAGGAAAAGTATGGCTAGAAATTTGGTGGCTTCGGCGCTTTGACGCAGCAGACGGCTGCCGGGCGCGTGCGCAACGCCCATTAAAATGCGATTACGAAACATGCGCCGCGGTGCGGAGAAGGCTGTTGTTGGGTGGTTGAGTGACTTGTGGCTGGCTGGCTGCAGTTGAAAATGTGTGCGGGTGGAGTTTGGGTGTTTAAATTTTTAATGCGTTTCTTTTATGAATGTTGTTGATTTTTTTTTTTGTAACATTTGCTGTTGTTATTTGAAATTTAATCTTAAAAATTGTTTTGCCATTTAATCAGCAATCCCACAAGCGTTTACGTTTGCTTGGTTATTAATTATATTTGGGAAATATTTGCAAGTTGTTTTCACTGCAAATGACTTTCAATATTTTTAGTTATTTCATTTTTTTTTATTTACACGTTTTCCATTTCACTTTGCTGCTATTTGTTTGTTTTTTGTTATTGTTATTGTTATTGTTATTGCCTCATAGCCAAAACACAATACTGCGAAAAACTATTGATTTTTCCCACACTCTTCTTGCCCTACACTCTCCTTGCGTTAAACAACTTTTGCGCACCAAAACTCAATTTGTGGCCATTGCACTTCGTTTCACTACATATTTTTCTATTTAATTTTACAACTTTTTCAAATATAAGTAAATTTTAGTTTTCCCTTTGCGCGAATCACTCTTCGATTACTATCACTTTATGAGCAGCAATATTTTTTTTTAACTTTCCCAGAGTATCGGCAGTGCGCGCACACCAGACCAGAATGTTTTTACTATCAGCACGAAAATGTTCTAATGGAAAAGGCACTAAAAGCAAATACCAGTTAAAAGCTTTCGAAATGCTAAAATTGACTGGAAGTGGAAATCTGGATTATGGCACAATGCAGGAAGTGGAAGTGTTGCAAATGACAATGGTGCATATACAAATTGTAGTTGTTGGTGCTATCTATTCTCCGGTCGTCTGCACGTTTAAGGACTTTAATAAAAAGCTAAAATATTTTCATTAAATCTGGAATATTTATATGTGTTTATGTATAAGTATTCAATGCCGCACAGTGGTACAAAAATCGAAAAAGCTGGCAAAAATACGCAGCTTTATTGGAGTTCTAAAATTGCACAGCCACACAAAAAAAAATTTGTGTTCTGACCCAAAGGTCTCACTATGTGTACTTGATGTTTTTGGGGTCGCTGAATCCGAATCCGAGGTCCATTTAACCCCATCAGTTCAGGGTTTTGATATAACCCCAGAAAACCAATATGGCGGACACCTTTTGGAAAAATTCATCGGATTCGCTTGAAACTCGTTACTCGGGGGTTTTCGGGGTCGCTAATTACGAATATGATATTATTTTTTCAAAATTCAAAATGGCGGATCCAATATGGCGGACACATTTTTGTAAAATTCATCGGATTCGCTTGAAAATCGTTACTCAGGGGTTTTGGGAGTCCGGAGTTTGGGAGTTTGTTAGCATACATACGTTTTCGAGGTCGCTGATTACGATTCTGGGTGCACATTTTTAAAATTCAAAGTGTAGCCTACACTTGACGAAAATTTAAAAAAAAAAAAAACCTTTAAATTCTCTTAAAACTCAATATTACGACGTTTTCGAAGACGCTGACTACGATTATGCATCAGCTGTATCGAAATTCAAAATATGAGACAGAAACATGGAGGACCCCATAAATTTTATTTCATTCCAATTTAATTTATGTTACTAGAAATTATTATTCTGATTCGAGCTTTTCACAACACGAATAAAAGTCATTTCCAGTAAGCTTTATTCTTCAAAGCTTTCGCATTTTAACCCTTAGCGTGCAAGAATTCATTTCAAGCCAAAAAGTTTGTTTTCCACCCTCAAAAAAAAGAAACTTCACTAAAAAGCTTTCCATTTGCTTAGCGGCATTTCAAGTATAAACAAAAAGTGGGAAAAGAAAGTTTTTCTGGCTGCAAACAAACATTGCCGCCATGAACACTCCATTGCGGCCGGCTAAATAAAAAAAATAAAAAATCATACGTAAATCGATAAAGCTCAGCTCATGAATGCTCTTCTATTTGCTATACGAAGTTTACTAAATATACAAGTACATATCTACATATCGTTACCTTAATTCACAAAGGCCATAACTAACATTTTTTTCGTAACTGTGTTTTTCACAGATTTTGGTAGGATAAAAATTTTGAAGTGTTAGTTCCCAAAAACGGAGTTACAAGCCACTTTTTAAAAAGTCCTGCCTGTTTTTGGATGCCGATGTAATAATGATTTTTGTCCTCTTGCTTAGGGCGTTTGTGAATTAAGCTGACGATATATGCATGTACATACATTAGACTGGAGCACAAAAAAAATGTTTTTAATAGCCCTCTCCGATGAAAGCTCACTTTGGATAGGATTTTAACATCGTAAAAGACTACGCACTACTCGCCTTTTAAGAACATCCAAAATATAATTTTTTTTCATACATTTTTTATTTAAGGTTCGAGTGTGATGTGTCGTGGTATTTTTGGGAACTAAAAAATCAGATTGACTTGAAGTTACTCCTTCTCTCAATAAACTCTGTTACATAAATTTTTGTTTTTTCTTTTTATTTTAATTAAGAGACTGACGAGGTCTAAGGAGGTATACCTAACACAATCCTATTGCATTTTAGTACATGTGAAAACTTATGTTGAAATGTGTTTACGAGTACCATCATAACCCTATAAAAAAGTTTTGTCTTACTTCTCACATACTTTTAACGCGAATATTTGATAAAACTTTAATAAATGAGTGCTTACTGTGGCAAAACGCTAATTTAACCTTTACCTTCGAAGTCAAAATAGTCTTAAATATAGCTGATAAACAGTTAGTCAACTATTAATGAAAATCACAGACTCAATTCTTTCGAGAATTCCTAAGACACAAATAAGAAAAGTTCAAAAATATTTAGCTATTCTCAAGCTGTTTACTGCGGATATCTCAATTTTTGTTTAGTGGGTGAGTCACCTTAATGTACATATGTACATATATACAAACGTATACTTATATATTTACACATGTATGTAGGTACATACTTACGATAACACTTTTAGCCTTTGTTGTAGTATATGAAAATTATTTTTCTAGGGTGTGTTATGTACTTATTTACATACATACATGTGTGCGTGGCGCTGGTGTCAAAGTTGGGGTTGCAACAGAGCGTTGCATGTTTTTCTTCTCTACTCGTTTTCACTACTATCTTACCTGTACACTACCCCTACAGCGTTTCTTTGTGATTATTAGAAAAAAGCAACAAATTTTCAGCAAATAATATGCAATTTATACAGGCTGTGGCATCATAAGCACATTCTACTGGACAATTTTGTAGGCACTGTTAAGTATGTATACTAGGGTGGCCATTAAAATCAAATTAACCATTTTTTTCACTCCACCCCCCCTCAATCGGTAATACCACAATTGTCTCATATAAATTTTGGTCCCAATTGAAGTCGGTTGAGGCGTGCCGAAAAGGGGTCAAAGGCCAGACGTCCGTATGAACTCAAAAAATTAAAAATATTTTTTTTTTCATTTAATACTCAAAATCGATACTACTGAAGTCGGTGATGTCACATATAAATTTTGGTCCCGATTGGAGTCGGTTAAGACGTTTTCATAGGGTACTCTGAACTTTGACCCCTGTGCGACACGCCTTAACCGATTTGAATTGGGACCAAAATTTCTATGTGATATCTTCGACTATGGGAGCATCAACGTGGGGGTTGAGGCTTAGGAAATATGATGTAAATTTTTGCTTCCTACTTTTAAGGACCACCCTAATGTACACATATGTCCATACATATATGTGCATATAAACGTATAGGATTTATGTAATTTCATATGTACGCATTTAATAATAAAATGTTGATAAACAAATTTCATGCAGATGAGCCGTACACATACAGACGTAAATTGGTACATATTAACAATTCTAATGCGAAAAGGGTCCACAGTCAATGTCATTAAAAAACATGCAGTATACTTATGTATGTATATGGAGCTTTGAATGCAAATACGAGTACACATTAGCAAGTATGTATGTATGTAGCGGAGATTTACGGACCTTTACGCGTTGGCGACGGCGAGTACCGCAGACGATGGAACGATGGCTGTATGAGCTTTACAACGACATATGTAGACATAGTGCAGAGTATTAAAATTCAGCGGCTCCGCTGGCTTGGCCATGTCGTTCGAATGGACAGAAACGCTCCTGCTCTAAAAGTATTCAACGCGGGCCGCGATGCTGATAACAGAGGAAGAGGAACGCTTCCTTTGCAACTTTGCACTTTTTTATATTAAAATTCAATGGTCTACAAAACTGCATACCTAAAAAAAAAGTTTGAAATTTTGGTGAAAATTTGTTGAATTTTTATAATTTTTGCACAAAGTTTGCAAATTGGATTTATATTGTTTTGTAAGATAATAAGCTATACTTTTATAAAAAACGAGTAATTTTTAAGCAAAAAACCAAACCGACTTCAATTCTCATATAAAAATTTAAGACTATCGTTAATTTCTCCACGATCCAACTATAGGATCTAAACAAAATTAGTATGTGGCCACACTTGAGGTACCACCTTTCCGATGGATGGAATTATCGAAATCGGTTAACGTGGTCCAAAGTTATGCGGTAATATAGTACATAAAAAAATAACCTCCTCCTTTTTCGAAGTCGGTTAAAAAATTAATAAACATTAAGCAAACAAAACAAAAAAAAGGCAAAACTGTTCAAAATATGCACTGCTAATATTTTGTGGACAGCAGCCATACTTATGTATGTATATATGTATGTTTATAAGAGTCACTTTCATAATTTTTTTGCGTACATATTAATTTGTATATGCATACATACATACATAATACGGCGCATAAACACAAAGAATATTTAGAATTCGTCTAACCTTCAACTAAGGACATTGACTTTCAAAAGCAGTTCAATCGATTTTTTTAAAACACAATTTCATGCGCCCAAAAATAGATATTTTGCATGGAAGACAAATAAGCGCATATTTGCGTACATACATACATACATACATACATGCTAATATAAATATGTATTACATGGCCTTTTACATATTTCTGTAATTTTGAGAGAGCGAAAAATAGGCGCAGAAGCATCGTTTTGGTTTCGCCCAATACTTTCAGGCGGCCTACACAGAATTTATGCTTGCTGTACAAATAAAAGTAAGCGCGCATTTTTGGATAGCTTAACTAAATCAAGATCAAAGGAGCCAAAAGCATTCGCCCAAGCAATGTCCAATTATGTCTGCAAAAAGTAGAATCGATGAAAGTAGTAAAGATAAAAAAGGAGCTAATGGCATCCTTCAGAAAAATGCGAATTGTAGCGGATGAGTAAAAGAATATTACGCCGAAATGGATATACAGACATGCAGGCCCGTCGCGAGGGAGGGGGAAAAGGGGTGAATGCTCCCGGGCCCGGGCTTTTTAAGGGGCCTGAAATATCAGAACCGTAACTTTTTGTAATTCTTTTTACAATATGATTGCTCCTTCGTTATAGGTTTTTATTAGAAATAAATTCAGATTCATGTTAATTGTTTCTGACTCTTTATATTATTAAAGGAAATGATCTCATGCTTTTGGATTAATACAATTTATATATAGGGGCCCATGATTTTTTTGATCCAGGGCCCGAGTTTTCCCTTGACGGCCCTGCAGACTTGCATACATATTCACAAGCATATGTATTCATAAGTAATCGCACATATTTACATATATGTACTTCAGGATACATTAATGCAAAGGTGAGAGCTTGTTCTTTTTTCTCTAAACGTACACCCCTTTCGCCGACTAACGGTATAAATGATTGATGTTGGCGTTGTATGCTGCAGCTTCTCAAGTGTAGCAATAGCGCTTAAATCTTCAGCATCTAAAATCGTATCGACCTGCTGTTAAGTTAACAGCTATTGAGGCAGTCATACCT